ATTTTGCCACACATTTTTTTAAAACCCTACAATAATGCCCCTCAAACTCTTGTTCTCGGGCATTTCCTTTGAGACTGACTTCAAATACAGTGGTTCTCAAATCTATGAGGCTGGGTGTGTGTGCGATCATTACATTTTGCTTTTGGCATAATTTAGAGAATTATAGATGACGTGAATCAATGAAACTGATTTCTCAAGTATTTGAGACTCCTTCATCTCTGCCCAATAATGTCTGTTCAGAAAAAGCTCATCTTTGCCAGAGTCAGAAAAATAAAAGAAAATCGGCCCTCAAGTGGACCCTGATTTAAGAACATCTATGCAAAAATCTCAGCTTTCGAAAACGAATTGGTGGCCGATTATTTGTGTGACAAAAGACAGCTTCACTCAACAAAAGAGCTCACTCAAAAGTTCCTTTAAGGAGAGAGCCCCCTGGTGCATTTAATGATATTATTGGATTAAAAAAAAATCAGGCAGACCATTCAAGGACACTGAGCCGTAAATATAAGTGAATTCACCGCACTGGGTTGTAGGAGAAATCAGGGCTCTGACAAATGGACAGGGTTTGGCCCAAAGTAACATGAGGAAAGAGCAAGCTGAGTTTTCTGGGTCTAAAATCCTGGCAGCTTTCTGGAAAAGGCTCTGGGAGTTCGTGTGATTTATTTGAAACCAGTTAAGCCCAAGGCCTGCGATGTGTCCATGTGGAGGGAGATGTGCCTAACCAAGGGTCAAAGTTCTGACCGCTCAGCCTGACCCCTGTCACCTGCCCGGATCGAAAGGGTTCTCAGAGGAGAGCTCAACTCCTTACTTCGATGGCAGAAAAATAGATTTGTTGCCAGAAAGCGGATTCTCCAGTGATGAAGACTGATCCTTATTTATGTCTGCATAGGTACATTCTGGGGCCCATAAAGGTTTAATTGTCCCTCTCTCACTGATTTTTTCAAAAACTCACAAAGAGGCTGCCAGCTTTCCCCAGAGCTTAAACCCAACTGAATGTGGTTCTGTGGAAACTGCTTTAAGTGTGTAACGCACGCCGTGTCCTGGGGCACAAGGCACGATTGTTTTGGGGACTGGAAAGATGCAGCTCTTAGGAGGACTTTTAAAGTCAGTTTTTGTGGCTTTCGGCTGCTGCTGACCTTGGGTTGCTCCACAGGGAGAAAAACTCTTTTCAGTTGAGATTTCTCCTGTGGTGCCACTGCCCCCTACTGCCACCCTCCAGTTCAGGGGGGACCTCAGTGTTGCAGGGCCCTGGAGGTCCTTGCTTTCCACTGGGGAGAAACAGGTATGAATTAACTAGGCAAACAAATGTTGGCCCACGTCTGTAATCCTAGCACTTGGGAGGCTGAGGCAGGAGGATCTCCGAGTTCAAGGCCAGTCTGAATTATGTAGCCAGATCCTGTCTCAAAAAAAAAAAAAAAAAAAATTTATGCAAAGAAGGGAGTAAAGGCAGTTCCCAGAATCTTCTTTGTCCTCTGCGTTGAAGCTCCTGTCCCTAAAGATTTGTTATGGTCTCCCCATCCATCAAACTTCACTCTGAGCTTCAGAGGGCCGCTGCCTGACGACCCCCAGATTACCTCACCTCTTCTCCTACCCGTCTTGCAGCTGAGCGAAGAAAACACATCCGTCAAGAGACTAAAGCAAATAGTTTTGACGTGCGGTTCTGCGCTGTGAGGAAGGCCGGAATGAAGTCAGTCCCAGTTTACAGGGCTCCAAATGGTCCCTGTGTTTAGATGCCCCACCCTGTATTTACACGACCCCCCGCTTCGACTGTTTATCTTCCAGCATACGCGACCCTCCCCCCAGTCCTGGTCTCTGCTCACTCCGTCCTTTAGTTTTCCATCCCGTGGCCTGTCATTTACGATTTTCTTTAGGAAATGTTAATATTTATTTACAGTATTAGTTTTTACCCGCGAATCACCTATACATTTTGGACTAAACAGAGCGTGATAGGGGTTTTTCTCCTGCATTTTCCATAAACTGGCGGTGACCTTAACCAAGTCATTTAGCCTCATTCAGCCCAAGATGTTGCTTTGTAAAATCCGTTTCTCATCTTTGTTTTGTGGCAGCTGGCAGCTCTACATCCCAGGCTTCTCTTGCGATCTCTGAACCTCTTACAGCTACCTTTGAGCATTCCTCTCTTATATTTTTGTCTTTATTGTCCTTCTTTTCAGAATGTCGTGACAGATAAGACCAACTTTCCGTAAATTTGACTTTGAGGGCAGAGTGTGCAAAGAATGGTATTTAATGAGAAGAGCTCATCCTGCTGGGCTTGGGTTCAAACTCACTCATGTGAAGAATGGTGAGGAGCAGGACGATTCTAGTCGCAGGGCTGCAATTCCCACAGACTGCTTCTCAAACCAGAGTGCAGGTAGCCACAGGGGTTTACAGGAGTGTGCCACCAAGTGCAGCTCACTCTTCCTTCTAGAACAATAACCCTGCTCACATATTTGACAACGGGGTGTGGGGCATGGTGGCGCACACCTGTAATCCCAGCACTCAGGAGGCTGAGGCAGGAGGATCGCCTCAAGTTCAAGGCCAACATAGAATACACGGTGTGATCGAGGCCAGCTTGAGCTACAGTGAGACCTTGTCTCAAAACAAACCAAAAAATCCCAAAACAAAAGAGATTGAGAACAGGAAATTAGACTTCAGTATTGCAACAGAAATGTGTCTATTAGGCATAGGAGATAAAAGTCCTAGACACATCTTAAAATACTGAGGGGCCCATGCTGAACAGCTCCGGGCGTACTGCAGTGTGAGTAGAAATGGGACCATTGCTTCTGAGCCAGAGTTGTTTGAGAAATACTTGCCTTATGGGTCTTTTGAGGTATGTGCACTTTAATAGGGTAAAGGTATTAGGTTACCAAGGAGGGACATTCCTGCTAAATAATAGACATATGTAGAAAATCCAATTTCACCCATGAAGAGAGTTTAAAGGGGGTTCGGAGGTTGCAAGGCAGGCTGAACCAGAGAGCTGGTTCCAAAGACGCAGTGAAGTGTACTCTCCCTGTTAAAACTGCTGAAAGGCTGGGCTTGGATCAATCCAAACACCTGGAAGATCTGTTAGCCTTTCTCTGACCTCCAGAAACAGTTCTTGTTTGTAACACCAAGGCCGGGGCTCACCAGGCCGTTATAATGTGAGTTGTATTTTTTCTGGTGCATGGGTAGCTGCTCAGGCAGTCAGGCAGGTGGTGTCAATTAAGAGAAAGTACACATTCAAGAGCCAAGAGCTCACCTACCTTGTGCCTTCTGGTTATTCCCTGAGCACTTGCGTCCTCCTGCTCACCTATTAAATGACCCAATATAACGCCTGCCTTGCCTGCTGAATAGGTAGGTTTATGTTTCGGAGCATATGGATTTGTGATGTAGAAGCATCATGTAAATCATTACACAAAAATCAGTTATTAACTAAGACCCCAAAGGGAAGGAGGACTTATCTCTCACATCATCTTTCTGTTCCCCCAACCTCTTAACTTTTGCCTGGTTGGTACTCATACTGGTTAACGATAAAAATCACGAAATGCTGCACTTAGTATGACCCTGAGAAAACTAATTTTGTTTTTTGTCTGTTAATCTAGACTCTTTCTCCTTTCTCCGATTAACCCTCCTAGAAAAATCTGGACCCTAAAATGACTCTTAAAGAGATTATTTCATGGATACCAATGAACTTCTAGGGGAATTTTCAGGCAGTGGTTGGGAAGGTTTCACAGCAATGCCTTTTTTGTGTGAGAAACAAACTCACATTATCCTGGAAGGTTTCTTAGACATGAAAATGTGCAATCTCAGAATTTTTCTGTAAGGGAGAAATCAAGGGTCCAGACTAAATATTTCCCTATGTAATAATGAAACATTCCATCAAACTCTACTGAAGTCACCTTGCAACTTCCTCCTACTTTTGATAGCTTTGGGGCGGCTGACACCCCTGAGGGAAACTTCAGTAGGGGCTGAGGAGGAGGTGGTAGGGGGCATGGTGTGTATTCCCTTGAGATACCCTCCAGTAAGCAGGAGCTTCAGAAGAAAAAGGGCCACTCCTTCAAATCTTCCTGGGCCTCAGGTCTGAGTGGACTTTTTAAAGGCAGAAACCATCTAGGGCTTTTCATAATTTTCCTCTTCAAAGCTTTAAACTATGCAAGAAACACACTCCACATCAGCAAGGCAAAAGTTAAAATGTGAACTCGGTCAAAACAGAGTTTCTTACAGGTAGTATTTTTATTTTATTTACTTATTTAGAGACTAGGTCTTAGTTTGAATTGGCCTTGAATTACCCATCCTCGTGCCTCAGGTTCCTAAGTGCTGGAGTTTCAGGTCTGCATCATCATTCCTGGTTTATCTTTTTGTTTAAAGTAGACTTTTAGGGGCTAGGGATTTAGCTCAGGGCATAAGTGCCTGCCTTGCAAGTGTGCGGTATTGAGTTCCATAAGTTCCATCCCTGGTACCGATAAAAATGAAAAAGACAAAAAATAAAAATAAAAAAAATAAAGTAGGCTTTTGTCAAATTTACTTTTATATAAAATAAGTTGAAATAAGTTTTTCTTTGTTAAAGAAATCAAGAGTAATGAAGAAGGGTAAGAGGGTGTGGAGAAGCTGCATTTCCTCCCCCCACCCCTCCAAGGGCATGGACTGAATGAGGGGGGTTGCAGATTCTCAGGTCAAGAGCAGACTCAGAATCAAGGGCAGTGATGGGGGAGCGAGGGATCCGGAGAACCAGGCCTCAAAGGTCACAGGGAAGCCCAGACCAGCCCCAGGCCAGGAGCTGTAGAATGGTAGAAAAGCCCTGTCTTGGGACTCCTTGGGACTCCTTTCCCCGCACTAAGTAGCTTGGGGTGATCACTGAAGAGGGGGTGGCAGGCGGAGAGATCTGTACCAAGCGGCCCTCGGGCTTCACGCCCACGAGGGCAGTAGGAGCCTGTTGGCTAGCCCCGCCCCCAAGCGCCTGCGCGGTTGTCCCGGGAGACTGCGGAGGTTTGTTGGCCAACTGGACTCTCCCATTCTGAGAGGCTACGGGGGTGCGTGCTGGGTCATCCTCAGCACATCCATGCTGCCGCGGTGGCTCTCTTGCCCAGCCACCCCCACCTCGGTGGTATAGTCCAGTGGGGCCTCGAAGCCAGAAGCCACGAGGCTGCTGAGGCCCAAGCTAGAGTGGACCGCCGGGGCTGCCTGGAGGAGGTGAGTGGGCGGCCGTCACCTCAGATTTCTCACCTTCCTCACCAGCCCGGCACCCGGCTGGCGCTCCTCTGGGCCCTTGTACCCCAGGAAACTCAGAAGCTCACACCAGGGCGGGAGCGCTGGCCTCCGGTTACCGTCTCTGAGGCCAACAGCACTCGACTCTTCCCCAGCCCTGATACCACCAGCAACATGCAGAATGTGGAGGACGGTGTGGCCGTTCAGGACCCCGGCGCCGGAGAGAGCAGCCCCTGCGACCCTAAGGCGGCAGGAATGGCCCCGGAAGATCGGAGCGGGGACCAGTCCCCGGGTAGGTCCAGCGGCCCTGGGGTCCCTTTGGGTGCCCCCTGCAGCGGCTGGACGTGTTCTGCTTTTCCTCCCCTATGTCCCAATCTGGTCCCTCAGCCTATTCTCTCAGCGGGCCCCTTGTCCACCAGAGACCTTTATGCTCCTACCTAGATATGGGGGAGCAGATTTATAAATAATCCTAGTGCTCTGGAGGCCGAGACAGAAGAGTCTCAAGTTCTAGACCGAGCTGAGCTATTTAGACCCTAAGGGCTCGTGGGGTGGGGTGGAAGGGGAGGGAAAGGGAGGGGAGGGGAGGAGAGGACCTTCCCCAAACATAAATCTGACAAGCTTGGAGGCTAAGTCACTTTTAAACCATGTTTGAATGGTAATTTTAATTCACAAGTGGAAAATGGCAGATATCTGGGGTCAACTTGAAAGAATCGGGTGATCGCAGCCGGAAGTTGTGTTTTCTGGGTGCCGTGGAGGGGTCGAGTCCACGCTTCCTGTGGTCTGTGTCGCCGTGGAGGTGGATGTTCTTCGGCATTCGCTTTGGGGCGCCAGGTCGCTGGAGGCATACCTTGTAGGTCCAGCCTCGTTGGGATTCACGCCGCTTTGCTTTCATCATAAATTTCCAGGGGGCCTGCCCGTTCATCGTCTGAAGGGGTGTTCACGTGTGACAGTCTCGGTTTTAAGATTGATTTATTGAAAGTTGAAAATTTCGTCGGAGGCACGAAGTTGAATTAAAACTCTTTTCTGTTGTGACCACATGGGGTCGCTGCGGGTTTACAAAAGATTTGAGCAGACCAGAACCTGGCGAAGTTGTGGATTTGTAAATACAGTTTGTTCTTACACAGTGGCTAAGTGAATCCATGGGTAAAATAATTCCTAGTAAAGTGAGTTACCAGGTTCCTTTTTAAAAGTTGAGATTTTGCGTATTAGGTTGGCTTGATTACTCTGTTACCTTGAAAATGTCTTTGTTCTTGGGATCTGGATTTTTAAAATCTAAGGTTACATTTTGTCTCTGATTATTCTTTGAGCCCTTCTCTTTCCTGAATTTTGGAGCTCTTCTGGAGTGATTTGGTGCCGGGTTACTTGTGAGTAACCGGTTAGTCTTTCAGGGCGAGCTGTGAACTTCGAGTTGTTGTAGTTGGGAAGTGTTTCAAATTTGCTTCAGGAAGCTGCTGTAGCTCAGTTTCCCTTTGAAGATTTTTAGTTGTCATTTATTATGAGTTAGCAGTGAGACAATTTATGTATTTGTATTTATATAGTTTTGTATTTTATGTATTTGTATATATAGCTTGGGCTGGCCTTGAACTCAATGATCCTCCTGCCTCAGCCTCCTGAATATTGTGTTCTTTTCTAAGAGAAAAGCAACTGTCCTGTGTAACCTCTTTATATAATGTTTATTTTTTTTCTTTTTATACTTTAAATCTTTTCTTTTTGTCTTTTTCGTTTTTATCGGTACCAGGGATTGAACTCACGACTGCACACTTGCAAGGAAGGCGCTTATGCCGCTGAGCTAAATCCCCAGCCCCTATACTTTAAATCTTGTTGCAGAAAACTTAAACATTTATAAAAGTGGAGCAACTAATACAATAAACCTCTCTTTATCACCCATCCTCAAATAGCTCGTGGCCAATCTTATTTCGTCTATTTCCCATTCAGATCTTGAAGCCAAATAATTTTCTGTGAACAAAAATATGAAACTTCACACAGAGAGAATCAGAAATGTAATTTGTTGTGCAGGACTTCACTTTCGATGCTTGTGGTTACCTGGTATAGGAGAACACCATCAACTGCCAGAGCTCTGTACTAAGAAGCTGGAAAAATGGTTACCGTTGCTCGTGCTGATTTGTGACAAAATTTCTACCGATATTTAATGAAATGAAATTATGAAAAAGTCGGATGGCACACACCTGTAATCCCAGCACCCCAGCTAAATCAGGAGGATCCCCAGGAATATAAGGCCACCTTGGGCTACAGAGGGAAACCCTGTCTGAAAATAATTATGAGGCTGTTAGTAGTCTTAATAAAGGAAAAATAGAACTCCTGACCTACTAGATGTGAGATGTATGGAACTCATGCACCCCCTCCCCCATGATATTGAAGAACAAATTCCAAAGGATAAAGGGGATGAAGAGTAGGGAAGGATTATTCAGAGAAAGCTCCTGAGAGACAGGAGGGCTCCCAAAAGGTAGCTCCTGAGGTGCTTTTCAGGGCTGACTGAAGATGGGCCAGGCTGCTGTCAGCCTACAGGGTTACACTCGTAGCCCTTTAGATAGTATTCAGTCCAATAGGGAAACCACTGTCAGCAGGAGTGTCCCGAAAGAAGGAAGGCTTTTTTAGGGTGGGGGGGATGAGTCAGGAAGTTCTGCTTATCCCCTGATGCTCCCCCCCCCCTCAGACCCTGGTGGTGCTAATTATAGTATGATCTCAAATTGCAGTTTATCTTGCAGGCTTAACTATTGCTTCTCCATCCTGAGGCTTGGCTGTCTGCAGATTTACCTCCAGCTATAATTTTGATGCCTTGTTGTACTGACTTCCTTGCTACAAATTAATTTTCATCTAATTTTGCACCTATAATAGTCTCAAAGCTAAACCAACTCACAGCCGGGTGTGGTGGCTTGTGTCTGTAATCCCAGCATTTGGGAGGCTGAGGGTGGCTATGAGTTTGAGGCCAACCTGGGCTATAAAGTAAGGTCAGGGTCAGCCTGAACTGCATAGTTAAATTTTATCTCAAAAAGGCAAAAAGGAAAAAAAAAGTTAAGCCCATTCAGTTTTAAGGACTGCTCTTTATTTTGAGACTTATTTCCTTCTGCTCTTTTATGAAATTATGATTTTGAGAGTAGAGTACAATTTTTTTTTTCTATTTGCTTTCTGTACTTTGCAAATAAAAGCTGTCATATTGTGGTCAGTTGTTTAAAGTCTTTTTGGAGGTTTATTAGTCTGAAATCCTAAAATCTGGGACTGTTGCTTTAGAAGACTTCAGCATCTGTATGTGATGTCTGTAGCAAGAGAGGCCTCTGTATTATCTGTCGGGCAATTCAGTTTTCACCGTGGGTAACTGCAGAGGCAGGAAGGTGGACTCTTAGTTACTGTAGATAAATGCTTAATTTTGGCAAATTCTAAAGTTTCCTTGGGATTTTACTTTACAGAAGTTTTTCATTGGTTTCACATCAGTTTTTTTAATGAATTAGCTGTCCTGCCTCCCTTATGCTCTGAATTTCAGCACCATTATGGGGCATAGAGTTGAGAAAACCTAGATGACTTCTGTAGTTGAGTGAATCTGACCCGTTTGGGGCCGGCTGGGTTGAGTGAGTGAATCTCCTGATAAAATAGAAGCCACGCCTGAGTGAGTTCCCTTTGCCCACCACTCATTCTTCGGTTACAGCTGTGACAGAGACCGTTAACGATGTCTCCAAGCTCAGCAGTGAGATTGGGATGAACCACGATTTCCACACGGAAGACGCGATTTTCCCTCCAAACAGGTAAAGGCTTTTCTACTTTTTCTTTCTGCTTGTCCTGGCATTGGTTCGTGGCACTAAGGACTTCAGACCCGGTGTTCTTACTTAACAGTATAATTAGTATTTGTGTGGCCTCTACAGCTTTTGTGAATCAGTCCCGTGATTGTGATTATTAGCATCAGACTGTCAGGGAGCAGATGCTGTTTAACCTGTGAGGATAGCAGAGCAACAGTGATTGGAGTAACGGGCTGGATTTGCTCTTCTCTGATAGACTTGGAGGGAGCAGCCTGGCACTGGAAAGGTTTTGGGTTTTGAAGCATGGTGCTTTTCAGACGTTCAGATTCGGGATGTTCAACCTGCATTATCATTCAGAGAAGACAGTTTCATATCTCAGAGACGCAGAGAAAGAGAACAGGTTTATCCAAGAAGGAGGGAGAGGGGTCAGGTGAGACGCACAGAAGGATTTAAAATGATGTCAGGCAACGTAGAATCGCAAGGATTCATGAATTGCAGGGTTTCATGAAGACGTATACAGGGAGCCTAGGTGAAGTGCAGATCCCCAGCTAAATGGCAGTTGTAATTGTGTCTGGTTTTATTAAAAGTGGCTTTTAAACGTATCTTCTGTTTCTTTCCTTTTTAATATGGGGGATCGAACTCACAGCCTCATGTTTACCAGACAAGCACTTGCGCCTCTGAGCTCAATCCCTGGCCCTGTCTTCTCTTTCTTAACTGGATGATGGAGCTGGGGCAGAGCCTATTAGCCAGTAGTGTCTTGCGGAGTCACTAACTTCCCCACGCTGGGCTTGCATTTTCAGTCCTCTGGCTTCAGCCTTGTAGTACTCAGATCTTTAGAAACAAAGGATCCCACTTTTACCTTAATTTGGGGTCTCCCAGAACTGAGGCAGAAACCAAGAGGGAGATGCTGTGGGACTGGACTGTGCGGGACTTTTCCAGTGCATCTCCCCAGGGCACGTCCTTCCGAGGCCGGTCAAGCCCATACCGTGGCCAGCTCTGTCGGTCTCCACAGAGTCCTGATGGAGTTTTGGGTTTTGTTTTGTTGCTGAGTGGATTTCTAACAGCTAGTCACTGTACACTGAGATCCCTTCATAGCAGAGTGAGCAGTGGGGTGTGTGTGGGATGTGGGTGGATTTAGAGGAAGATTAAGTGATTTTTAGGGGAGATGAATGGGCCCAGGATGTCTGGGCTCTGAGGGCTTACCAGTGATTTTTCTGGCAGTAAATTGCCATCTTGTGTTAATTTCTGTCCATTCCAGTCAGAAATCTGGAGCTTTATGTGACTGCACAAAGAAATAAAGTGAATTTTTAAAAAACCCCAGTTTTCCTCTCCATTAATAATTGTTCATTGGAACCATGACCACTTCCTTTAAAATTGTAGTTTTTAGCTGGGTGTGGTAGAGTATGCCTATAATCCCAGCACTCTGGGGGACTGAGGCAGGAGGATTGTAGGTTCTAGCCCCATCTGGGTGACTTGGCAAGACCCTGTCTGAGGAGACAGACAGTGGCTCTTTCTGGTGAGCTGTACAAACCCAGAGGTCCTCTAGAGCACAGAGTAGCGCTTGCCAGCACCAAGAGCCACGGACGTCAAGGAACTCTGTGTTTAAAGACAGCAGAACTAGAGCCCGCTGGGGCTCTGTGAGGAGGACTAAAGACCCCCGCAGTGGGGAAGGGCTGCTACCCGCGTTCCTCAAGGGCTCTCTCAGCCTCCAGTAGCCAGGACTCTGATGTATCCTCTTGGCCATTTTTCATACACTGATCCACGAACAGAGGCAGTAGGGAGCTAGGGGGGACACATCCGAGGTCAGAAGGCACTGAGTGGAAGATGGGAGGTGTAGGAGGACTGGGAGCAGGACCAGATGGACGCTCTTAGACCAGCCAGTCTGGGGAGGTTTTCAGGTTTCTGAAGGGAAACGTGATGATTAGCAGGTGGTTGCAAAAAAGGAATTAGTCAGCTGAGAAATTTCCACAAGAGAGGAAGAAATCTTAGAGAACAGAGGCCATTAAAGAGTATGGCTTGAGTATTAGCTTTTAATTAAGCCAACATTGGATCAGAGAGCTCTTTCAAAAATCTTTTCCTCTTTTCTTTCTTTTTTTTATTTTTTATTTTTAGTGCAGGACAGTTCTGTTTGAATTGTCCTGATTTGTACAGTATCTGTAAATGCCTGAAGGCAAGCAGGAAAAGTTCTGTGATTGGTGACGACAGTGGATGGACTTTGAGTTTCTTCTAGAATCATAGTTCTGGTTTTATAAAGATTCAGGCGTGGAAAAAAAAAAGGATTCAGGCTGCAAAGCAAGGCTGGTTGGATTGAATTCTCTGAGGCACAGGGTAGAAGCCTGACATGGTAAGGTGCTGACCCCTCCACCCAGCTGCACAATCTTTAGGCTGCTTTTTCCTATTAGGGAGTGGATTTCTAACTAAACAGAAATCATAAGGTTTCTTTGTTCAGATTTAGAGAGGTCCTTTTTTTTTTTTTTTTTTTTTTTTTGTCTTTTTGAGACAGGGTCTCGCTGTGCAGGTCAGGCTGGCCTTGAGCTCACTGTGTAGCCCAGGCTGGTCTCCCAAAGATCCTCCTACCTCAGCCTCCTGAGTGCTGGGATTACAGGCATGAGCCACCACACCCGGCTGAGCCGTCCTAATGTTTTAACAAACCAGTCTTTCTTTCTGAGTATATAGTTCTGTCATAGATTAGGTAAGAAGGAAAACGATTCCCATTATGCTCTGAATATGAGCCAGGGCTCTAAACCAAAGTATGTGTACAAGTACAAAGAGGCACAGATGTCATTTAGGTTAACTTTTCTCGCATCAAAACTAACAGAATCTTTTATGGCTTTAACCAAGGGCTTCGGAAGAGGGAGTGAAAGGTTCGGCTCTTTCAAAACTCAGACCATTCCTGAAGAAAAGCAGAAAGAAAGAAGAGCTTAAGCTATGCAACAGCTGGTATGCCTGCCCAGTGGGGCTCACCTCAATGCATTCTGGGGACTCCCAACCTCCAGGTGGGCCACCTTCACACATCTACCCCACAGTCTACTCCCACAGATGGACAGGCAAAGCAGGACCAGCAGGAAAATATGCTGGCCTTAGAGGAAGAATCTCTAAGAAATGGGGGACCCAGTAGCCAACACTCACACAGATTCCAAGCAAATAATTCAAACTAATTTTTGCAAGTGTTTCTCTCCTGAGCTCAAGGAATTTATTAAGGAAATAGAACTGGGCTCAGAGGAGAGAAAGTTTAAACCAGAGGCCCAGCAATCCAAGAAATCTTCAGTTTAAAGCATTAAAAATTTTTTCTAGAGTCTATTTCTGTCTTTATTAATTTGCATTTCTGTAAGCAAAATTGTCTCAAAAGACAATTAAGATTAGAGTTCTTCCCCAAGTTTGCTTTAAATGTAGCCAGCTTATTTGTTCCCAAAGCCATTCAAACCAGTACAAGACATAGCTTAGCTACATTCTCACCTACTTATCTACATTTAGAAAGGGAAAAGACCACACTCCCACCACCCTCACGCAGTTGGCACTACACGGAACACCTGGGGGAACTGACTCTGGTGAAAACTCTTGTCTTTGCTGCTTTTTGTGCTGGGATCCTGTCCACAGGCTGTGAAATGAGCAGCATGATTTGTTATCCTGATGACTAAGCCAAAACTGTAGGGAAAGTCAGCCTTTTCCTCTGAAGGTTTAATAGTTGAGTCTGAAATAAACTGCCAGTGGGATGATTAACAGAAGAGCCACGCAACGTGCCACTCAGACCCAGCTGGTTGACACTGACCCTTGGATACCTCCGTGGAGGCCAGGGAAGTGCGGGTGGAGGCCAGGTCTTTACAGGAAGACTAAAGGGCTTTAGGGGATATGAATGGTCCCACGATGTCTGGGCGCTGAGTGTAGAGTCAGATCTAGGCTTCCTGTGATCTGCCTCAGTCTCCTAAGGCTGCTGAGGAACCTGGGGCAGGAAGAACAGCGATAGAAAACCTTCTGCAGGATCCAGCCTTGGGGTGATGGGGACCTGCAGAGAAAGCCCTTTCCTGCAATTCCTGCTCCCTGGGGCAGGAGGTTCCAATAGGTGTTTGGTGGTACTGTTTTCTGAGCCCCAACAGTCATATAAGCCATTTTCCTGCTGGTGATAGGGAGCTGCCAGAGTACTTTAAATGAGTATGACATCATAGTCAGAATTGCATCTTAGGAAAATCATCAGTTTTAGGATGCACTGCTGGTGATGTAGAGAAAGATTAAAACAGGACCACATTGGAGACGGGGTCAGAGATGATGGGAGAAGGGGGAGCCCAGAGGCATCAAAGGAGCAGAATTTGTAGAACTTAGCAATCAGTTGTATATATAGCAAGAAGAAAAACAGTTAAAGAGTGATCTCAGTATGTACCCGCCTAAGTTACAGGTGAGGCTGGTGTGTTTGGAGAGGAGCTACAACCTTGTGTTAGAGCTTTGTATTGTAATCTTTATATAAGTTACATGTGTCACTGCTATGGTTTTTGAGGGACGATGCTTAATTCAAGAGAATGAGTATCTGGCAGTGACGAGATGCAGCTTCAGAATTTCCATGGTTTTTCCTTGGTGTAACTCTGATTAGAGACTGCTGCTAAAAAAAAACACTTACAGGAATGTTAATTTCTTTTTTTTTTTTTTTTTTTTTTTTTTTGTCTTTTTCCTTTTCATCGGTACCAGGGATCGAACTCACGACTACCTGCTTGCAAGGCAGGTGCTTATGCCGTTGAGCTAAATCCCCAGCCCCTGGAATGTTAATTTCTGTTATTTTAATTTTTAAAATTAATAGGCTTGGGGCTGGGGATTTAGCTCAGCAGCATAAGCACCTGCCTTGCAAGCAGGCGGTTGTGAGTTTGATCCCTGGTACTGATAAAAAAAAAAATTAATAGGCTTTATTTTTAGAGTCTTTTTAGGTTTATAGAAATAGGATTAGAAAGTAGAGTGCTCCCATGCTTCTCTCCTCTCTCCTGCAGTGCCCCTATTAAGTGTGGAGCATTCATTACAATTGATGACCCAATGTTAATAGATTATTAAGGTCATAGTTCACATTGGGGTTGGCTTTCGTGAGATATATTCTGTGGATTTTGAAAAATATCAAATGACATGTCCCCCTATTATTTATCAGAATGAGCTCACTGCCCTGGAAGTGGGGTGCGTTCCACTGTCTGTCCTCCCTCTCAGCCCTGCGCAATCACTGATCTTTTTATAGTTTCCATGTTTTACCTTTTTCAGAACGTGTTACTGTCAGAATCATACAGTAGGGAGCCTTTTCAGAGTAGCTGCTTCCCCTTACTTATAAATTCTCCTGTCTCGATATGCCAGTATGCATTTGCCAATTTAAGGATATTCTGACTGCTTTGCAGTTGTTAATGAGCTGGTGTAAATATTCGAGTACAGATTTTTGGTGGATGGAAATCTCCACATCATTTGGGTAAACACCCAGGAACATGAGCACAGGATGATGCAGTGTGCTTGGCGTGGTGAAAAACTGCCCGCTTTCATTCTCGGCCTTCTCAGCAGCAGTGAGGGGACGTTCCTGTGGTCCAGGCTTGTCTGTCTTCACTCTGCTTCCCACCTGCTGCCAGTCCATGTTAAAACAGATTTTTCTAAGATGCAATTCTGATCATGTTGTCGTGCTCATTTAAAGTCACTTAAGTAAATAAAATAAACGTTTAACATCCTTGCTGGAATTTGGTATAATCAGTACTCTGATTTTGGCCATTCCAATAGGTGTGGAGTGCAATGTTATGTTCTGGTTTGCAGTTCCCTGTTTTAGTCATTTTCTCCTTAGTGGGACACAGCATCCGGCACCACGACCTAGAGGGGAAGAGGTTTATTTTGGCTCACGTTGTAGGTCCAAAGTCTGCTGGCTCCGAGTCAGGGACGTGCGGCAGGGGACCTGGTGCATTGCCGTACCCAGCTTGTCTTTTTGTTCTCAAATAATGTCTTTTGCGGGGCAGAATTTTATTTTTTTTTGAGTACTGAGGATCAAACTTACGACTTTGCACTTGCCAGGCAGGTGCATGTGCCACTGAGCTAAATTCCTGGCCCAGAAGAGAAGTGTTTTATGTGATTCAATTACTTATGTTTTGGGGCTGGGGATTTAGCTCAGCGGCCTAAGCGCCTGCCTTGCAAGCCTGTGATCATGAGTTCGATCCCTGGTACTGATAAAAATACAAAAAAAAAAATTACTTATGTTTCTGAGACAGGGTCTGTGTAGCCCAGGCTGGCCTCAGACTCACAGTGCTCCTCCTTCCTCAGTGGGCCTCCCAGTGCTGAGATGTGGGCATGTGCCACCACGCCTGGCAAAAATTGTAGTTGTAATTAAGTCTGCCTTACCAGTTCTTCATTCCATTTCCTGATTGTTGTTGAGGTTGTCTTTAAAAAGCCCAAAGCCGCATAGATTTTTTTTTTGTATGTTATCTTGTGAGGATTTTATAGTTTATTTTTCTTCTAGATCTGTGACTCATTTTGTTTATAATTTTTCTGAAAGGTGTAAGATCAGTGTTTTGATTCAGTTTTTGTATGTGGATCTCCAGTTATTCCAACAGCACTTTTTTTTTGGTTTTAATTTTAGTTTTAAGTTTAGTTTAATTTTAATTTTTTGGTACCAAGGATCAAATTCATGACCTTGCACTTGCCAGGCAGGCACTTATGCCACTGAGCTAAATCCCCGACCCTCGAGCAACTTTTTGAAGATTTCCCTTTCTAAATTGAATTGCCTTTTCATACTGCATTTTTAAAAGGTGTAAACAATAAAAAGATCTTTTTTGGCTTCCATGACTACATGGAGCTGGGCATAGTGTACGCACCTAGTCCCACACTTGGAGGCTTATCAACACAAGTTGGAAGCCAGCCTCGGCTGTGTAGGGAATTCAAGACCAGCCTGAGCTACATAGTGAAACACTTCCTCAACAAAACCAAACCCCAAATCAACACCCTGACTGATAGAGGGTAGTGCTGTTAAGACTGAGAATATGAGAGGAATAGTATGAAGGGGCTAAACAGCAAATTCATTTTATTTGTTTTTCGGTACTGGGGATTGAACTCACAGCCTTGTCCAAGCTAGGCAAGCACTCCATCACTGAGCTACATCCCTAGCCCCCTGTGAACTCATTTTAAACCAGCTCACTGGTTTAAATATCTATGCTATTCAGGTGTTAAAGAAGAAAATCTTTTCCTAGATTTTAGGAATATAAGAAAATGATCATTTAGTTCAATGACATGTACAGTGCCATAAGATGCCATATATGTTACATATATTAAGCCGTGCAGGCAGGCTAAGTGCCCAGTCAATGCTAAAATTATCCTGACTGCTCTTTATTCAGAGTTGTTCTTCCTACAGAGGAAGCGCTGCTCTGGAGTCATGAGATACTCTGAGAGGTTTAATTGACCCCCTCGAAATCCAGGTCCGCTTTGTTGTAGTCCAGAGTTCCTGGCATTTCTCATCAGTAACGTTATCTTCCATGCCAAATACTGCTTGGGGTTTAGGAGACTGTGACTGAGACTAACGTAGGAACTCTCTCCTAGTCCGGAAGGCAAGGTGAAGGAGGCACTGCACAATGACTTCTGGGACCACCTTAAAGAGCAGCTGTCAGCTACTCCGCCTGACTTCAGTTGTGCTCTTGAGCTTCTGAACGATATTAAAGAGGTGAGTGGCCTTCCTTTGCCCTGTAGTTCCTGGACATTCCTAGCTGTTGGAGCATTAAGAGTGCACAAATCCTAGCTAAGCAAGGCTGTGAGTTAGAAGTCACACAGTAATGTGAACAACAAGGTTTAATATAAAATTACAAGGACAGGGAATTGCAGAGATGAAGAATTGGCTAATAAGGAAGAATCTGAGTATCATGTATACTGGCGTGTCCGTCATACTCTGGGATGGAGGCAGAATGCTCAGGGAGCTCACTTGAGAGGACTTGGCAGTGCCAGGGGGAGTGGTGGGCTGTGTGTGGTGCTGGTCACCGTCTCCTGCTGCAGCTGAGGACTGGAGAAATCACTCAGACTGCAGGACCCTGCCGAGCATGCACACCAGGACCAGCTCCTGCTTTTGCAGTGTCACACTAGTATCCACTTGTCTGTGTAATTGCCTCCCATGAGTGACAAGACCTAGAACTTCTCTCTAACCAATAGACGTGGTGAAGGTAATGGGATTTACATTTCCTTATATAAGATTCCATCTCAGCTGACCTTGAAGATGCAAAGAGCTATGCTGTGAACTGTCTGTGGATCAGGAACTGCAGGTGGCCTCTGGGACCTGGGAGCCGGGTGGGGGGGGTGTGACAGAATGCAGCGTGCAGCCAACAGTCAGAAACTGGGACGCCAAGCTTGCAGCCGTGAGGAAGCAAATTCTGCCGAGTCTGGACACAGTCTTCTCCAGTTAGGCTTCCACATGGGAGAGTAGCCTGCCCAGCAGCATGACTGCCCCGGAGAGAGCCTGAGGGGAGGCCGTAGCCCAGGTGCGCCTGGCCTGAAACCAAAAACCGCGCTGGAACAAGCTTGTAAGCTGCCGACTGTGTCAGTGTGCTGCGAAGTACAGAAAACCAAACAGCACCCTCTGCGGGCCAAGCTGGAAATTGCGCCACCGAGTAAGGGAAGATGCTGAAGGGTTTAGCTCTGTTTTCACAGCAGAGAAAGGATGATTGGAGCTGACGGGCAGGACGCTGGGAAATGGCTCCGACATTGGCCACGCCTTTGGCTCCTCAGCTTCTAGTGGCACCGCTCTGCACACGTCTGAGGGTGTAGCTTAGAGATGGAGTACAAGGTCCTGGGTTCAGTCCCTAGCACCGACACACACACACACGCACACACGCACAAAATAAAAATATGTCTTACTATTTCTCATTCTTCTCCAAAATGAGGAAACAGGTGGCCAAATTCAGCAGCAGTCTCTCGCTGGCTATCTGGTTATCCGAATGACTAAACTGTACGGTTGATGTCCGGCAACCCATGTGTAAGATAAGAGTAAAGAAGATCAAGTACACACCCCTAAACTAGCAGCGGAATGGTGGCACCTGTTTCTCTGGCCGGCCTCAGCGCTCAGCTCCGTACCGACGGCTGCGCGGCCACTGCGCCCGCCACGTTCCCTCAGCCGGCGAGGTTCCATGCCTGGTGGGGGGACTCACGCTCCCATTCAGACTCAGGAGCTCTCGAGTGTTTCGCTTCTTTGTTTGCTTGCTCTGGTTTCCATGTTACTGGGCTTGAGTGCTAAGAGGCAGCTCAGAGACCCTCCTGTGCGGTGGGTGTAATCCTCAGCCCCGTTAGGTAGCACCGAGGAGAAAGGAGATTGGTGCCACCCAATGGGACGTACATGTTGCCTATGGGCTCCGTGGTCCAGGGAGCTCACGGTGGTCAGGCAGCGGGTTCATCTTTTAATTCATTAGAACCAAGTATTTCTCCTAAATCAGCAGAACCCCAGGTTGGCAGAATAGCAGACAAAAGATGTGCAAGTGGGTTCTGAGGGCTGTGCTCTGGCTCGGGGAGACGGCTTACGGAGTGATTTTCCGTTCCTGCGCCACTTCCTTCCAGCTGGTGCCGCGGTCTTCAGTAAACTTCCACCTCTCAGGCCAGCCGATGTTCCCGGTGGGGCTAGTTGGCCCCCTGGTTACACTCGATTCCTTTGCTGTGAAGTGCGTTCCTTCGTCAGATGCAATGCCATGGAGCCTGGCAAGGCCCCGGGTGACGGGTGTGGCATTTCATGAGTACGCAGATGTGGGTGCTTAGAGAAGCATCAAGGCAGGGAGGACAGACTGACGCCTAGAATATGTCAGCTCCGATGAGTAGGAATTTCTGTCCGTGTTTCTGCCTTTTGGCTGTTCTGAGTAACACTGCTGCAAACAGTGGTTACAGATATCCGAGCCCCTGCCTGTGAGTCTCCTGGGTATGTGCTTAGAATTGCAGGATCATAATGGCAATTTCTTTTGTATATGTGTATGTGTGCTGCTGGGGCTTCCATTTTTTGAGACAGAGTCTTACCGAGTTGCCCGGGTAGGGCTCAGATTTGTGATCCTCTTGCCTCAGCCTTCCTCAGTGCTGGTATTACTGGTGTGCACCACCATGCCTGGCTTTACAAGGTCATTCTTCGTTATTTTTTGGTACCAGGGATCAAACTCATGACCTCGTACTTGCCAGGCAGATGTTTACACCACTGAGGAGCTGCAGGGCTTTCCCACAGCGCTGTACCTCTTTCTTTTGGTTTTCACCCGCAGGGGGCCGTTGTTCCCCGCTGTCTGCATCCTGCCAGCTGCATGCTGTGTCCCGGCCCTGGCCCCTCCTGCTGCCGTTCGAGGTGTCAAGTGGCATCTTACTGTGGTCCTGAGTTTCTTTAAGGGTGAAACACGCTGTGCATCTGTTCATCTGTTTTCTGACTTTTTAAAACCTGCAGTGTTTGCTCAAGTCCTTTGCCCGTCTTTAATTAAAACTGTCACTTCATGGGGTCTTTTGCCCACCTTTAGGACTTTGTCAGTGAAGTGAAAATCCAACATACTATTATTAACCCAGCTTTGTGAAGGGCTGCACGTCCCCATCAGTGGCCTTACCAGTAGTGTAACCCATCAGCCATCCCCATTTAAAAAAATGAAGGTTTTTACGAATAGAGAACGTATAATACAAAAATTTTGCCTATAATTTCTAATAGATGTTCTTTCAGGTAGTGCTGGGCTGAAATGTCTATAAACTTTCTTTTATGATAGGCCAGAACATTACGTTACCCCAACAATACTGAGGAAAATCAAGGTTAAGGGACCTAAAATTACAAAAGTGTGTTTTGTTATTCCCACTCCCTTCTCCTCTCGTGAAAGTCTGCACAGTCCCGCCGCTCCGGGCGCCACCCCGTCCTTTCCCACTCCCCACCCCAGTCGAGAGCTCTGCTGGCTTCCTCGGCATTGGGTCTCTCTCCACTAGCTCCCTGGTGCAGTTCCTTTGCTTCCTGAGTGTGGCCTGTGAGATTTTAATTGCTCTGCCGCTGTTTTTTCTTCAGTCATTAGCAGCAGCTCCAGATCTGTTTGCTTTTGCAGTTCTGATATCATGATCATAATTCTATTCAGAGTAGCATAAATGCGGCTTTGTCTCTTTCTGCTCAGTAGCAGCTGGTTTAAAATGTGCATACGAAGTTGAATTTTGAGACTTTATTGCTGACAATTCCTTTCAGAGTGCAACTGGATTCTTCTTGCTTGCTGAATCAGGATCATTCATCTTGATTTCATATTCCAGCCTGTATTGAGTGACATCCAGATCAGAGTCAGCCTTCTGGAACAGAACCAGGCGTGGTGGCTCACACCGGTACCCCAGCACTCAGGGAGCTGAGGCAGGAGGATGGTAAGTTCCAGGCCAGCCTGGGCTACATAGTGAGTTCCAGGCCAGTCTGGACTATGTAGTAAGACCCTCCTTTTAAATAGTCCGGTTCAGCTACTTAGCTGGGTTAAGTCTACCAAGAAAGTGCCTCAGGTTCAGGACAGCTGGACTTTGAGTCCATCAGTCCCAGCCCATTGACTTCTGCCTCCCCATTGAAAGGAGTTGGCACTCCTCAGACCACGGCAGGGCTTATGCTGCAAGCAGTGTTGACACCAAGGCTCGGTATGGGACAGCTATCCTTTGTCATTGAATTGTAAGAGTTCTTTGTCTGTTGTGGGGGCCAGACGCTTGTCAGATGATTTGTAAGCATTTTTCTCATTCTGGGGTTAGTCCTTTTATTTTTTTGTCCTTTGATGTACCAAACTTTTAAGTTAAGTCTACTTCAGTTTTCCTTTGGTTTCTTATGCTTGCCTTTTTTTTTTTTTTTTTTTTTTTGTACCAGGGGTTGAATTCAGGCAGGTGCTTATACCACTGAGCTAAATTCCCAGCCCGCTTTCTTATGCTTCTAATGTCATATCTTGCTAAATTCAAAATCTTGGTTGTTTTTGTTTTTTTTTTTCATTTGTGTGTTTTGTTTTGTAGTACTGGGGAATGAAACTAGGTGCTTTATACTGAGCTAGGTGCCCAGTTCTTTTATTATTTTATTTCATTTTAATTTTTAAATTTTTATTTTTTTGGTACTAGGAGTTGAACTCAGGACCTCACATTTGCCAAGCAGGCACTGTGCTGCTGAGTTACATCCTAGCCCTTCTTTTTTGCTTTGAGACAAGGTCTCACCCCAGGCTGGGCTCAAACTTGCTGTCCTCCTGCTTTACCTTCCCCAAATGCTGGGATCATAGACATGTACGCCACACTCGTTGCTGGATTCAAGTTCTTTTTTTTTTTTTTTTTTTTTTTTTGGTACCGGGGATCAAAATCATGACCTCACTCTTGCCAGGCCAGTGCTTATGCCGCTGAGCTAAATCCCCAGCTTTGAATCTAAGATCTTAAACACTTACTTCTTGTATTTTCTTTTGTTTTCCTTTATGGTGCTGGGGACTGAACCCAGGGCTTTGTGCATGCTGGATAAGGGTTCTATCATTGCATCACACCTCCAACCCTTGCTGTATTTTCTTCTAAGTATTTCACAGTTTTAACTTTTAAGTTTAGGTATTTGATCCATTCCGAATTACTTTTGGTATAGTGTAGATAAAGGTGCAACTTGGTCCCCCTTCAGCTTGTGGTATCCAATCTTCCCAGAACCGTCCATTGAAAAAGACTGTTTTCCACTAACTTGGCCTCCGTCCGCATCATTTGGTCATGTTATCCAGGTCTTGTTTCTGGGCTCTCTGTTTTGTGCTGTTGCCTGTGTACCTGTCCTTCCACAGTGTGTGCTTGGCTGTTTTTATTTGGGGACACAGTGCTACATGCTTAGCCTGTGCTGTTGGCTGGGTACATTAGGCAACACCTAGTTCCTGCTGGGAAGCTCAGGCCTTATGATCATTTAATGGTGCGGTTTTAGTTTCTGCCAAAGTCCAATAGTAAGCCAGAAAGAAAGTCTTTCTTAGAAGGCAGCTAGTCATCTACAGAGAGAGGATAGATTCCTTTCGGGTCCTAGGGATCTATCTGTGTTGTGAGTCCTGTTGGTGCTTGCAAGGTATTTATCCAGGTCCTCCATTGCCATGGACTCTACATTTACGAGTTGATCTGCTGGATCACAAGACCCAGGTGGCAGAATGGCTCCTACCACAGTCTGAACCTGCAGGGAGGCCTGCTTCTATGCAGGAACTCATGTGAAATTTGTAACCCTTTGCATCATTCTGTGGGAGTGTCAAAATAGCAAATTCGGATTTAGCCTGAAAAATCCAAAAAGGCCAGCCAAATGTTGTTCCTCTTTCAGGGTGGGTGGTTTTAGGTGCAGCAGCTTCTCCTTCGTCCTAGAGCTGACAAGCTCTAGGGTCACCAGAGCCCTAGAAACCTGGACGTGCCAGGCCTCTGGAGTTCTGCCATCTTCTAGTGGCACATCTTTCTAAGGTGTGTAAAGTGCTCGCTTTCCTACTCATCAGATCCGGTGGACGCATCACTATCTGAATTCAAACCTCACAGTACAGAACCATCAGTCAGAGTATCACAAGGAGGCAGAAACCACACAACAGTCTGAACAAAGAGACACTTCCATGACACAGGAATTTGCTGGAAGGAGGAATTAAGGGAAGATTTGGAAGCGAGGCTCCACACACCAGCAGTTTTCATAACTTATCAATAATAGTTTGGAGCAAATCTCATTTATTTGTTTAACGAAGAGCTAACCAGTTGGAATTTTGCTGTGACCATACAGTGGTCGGTTTGATTAAGGTTCATTTTACTCCATTCCCATGCTCTCTGACCATGAACTTGTATTACAAAGGTGCGCAGGTAGGTATAAAGAGTACCTGTCCACCAAGGACCTACCTTTGGGGGCAGAAGGCTATTTCAAGTGACTTAACTTCATTGCTACCCTTTAAAATCTCAAAAGAGCCTACCTTTAAAAATTGATTACCTCATTACTATGTGACAATAATCTGTTGGACTCTGTACTTTTATTGCGCCCCTTGATTTTACCTTATCTGCCTAGAAAAATGATACACTGTTGCTGTAGTTCATCCCTTTAACTTTGAATTACCACTGGCCCCTACGTGGAGGTAAATGATATTCTGTAGGAAATTTAGGACCCCAAACTCTTGGTTTTCCAAAAACGTGTGCAGCTAAAGGGGTTGCCCACTGAGAAAGTCTGGCACCCTAAGCAATTAACTCCTCCTCTGACTTTCTTTGTGGGCAGATCTTGTTGTCTCTGCTGTTACCACGCCAGAACCGTCTGAGGAGTGAAATTGAAGCCGCTTTGGATGCAGACTTGCTCAAGCAGGAAGCAGGACGTGGAGCCCTGGATGTCTCTTCCCTTTCTAAGTACATTCTCAACACGATGACGCTGTTGTGTGCGCCAGTCCGAGATGAAGCAGTGCAGACGCTTGAGGACATTGCAGACCCTGTTGGGTTGCTAAGGTGTGGACCCTGGTTTCTGTCCCTACCCCAGGGCCTGAAAAAGGTGGACTGGGCACTGGCTTGCGGCCACTGCCTTGATGGCCACCTCCCTGCTAAAGACCTGACTCTGCCCCCTTCTGCCTCTCTGGCCTGTTGGTTTTTTCTTTTCCAAAGACGGCCTCACCCAGAGCCCTGTGGGTCTCCTTAGGTTGATTGGATCCCGTTGTATGTGTGCTCCCCAAGGTAGAAGTCTTTCCTTTCAGGAGTGAAGACAGCCCTACGTCACAGGAGATAGGGGGGCTGTGAGGTCACACCTGTTTCATAGGTATAGGAACTAAGAAACTGAGACCCAGGAAGTAAAAAGTAAATAATAAGTCAAAAGTAACTAAATTTTAAAAAGCCAGTTTGGCCAAAGAGTCAGGAATAGCATCACGTAACAGTGGCATCACCTATAGACCCACCTTGCACAGAAGATTGCTCTGTTTCCTTCTACTCACTTTGCCCTTTTGAGAGGACAGAATAATCATAGTAAGAGAAACCTAGCTGTTTCTAGTTCTGCCCTAACTTCTGGCCTTTGGTCATGGCCATATATCATCCTTTATAAATGTAGGATGTAGGACTAAACTTTATGAGGCCTCTTAATTTGAGAATACAGTGATTGATTGAGTGATTTTTTTTTTTAAGACACTGTGTAGGTCAGGCTGGCCTTGAACTCACTGTAGCTCAGGCTGGTCTTGGACTCACGGCGATCCTCCTGCCTCAGCTTCCTGAGGGACGATTTTATTGGTGTGCACCACCGTGCCCAGCTTGAGAAAACAGTGTTTTAATGGCTCCTCTCGTGGGTTTTCCTGTCATGAGATTTCCTTTTGTGGTGTAAATGCTCTTTTTCCCTCTGTCTCAGAGGGATCTTCCAGGTGCTGGGCCTGATGAAAATGGACATGGTGCACTACACCATCCAGAGCCTCCAGCCCCCGCTGCAGGAGCATTCCATCCAGTATGAGCGGGCTGAGTTCCAGGAGCAGCTCGACCAGCAGCCCAGTGCGTATCATGTGAGGGAAGAGCAGCACATTGCGGGCTGGGTCTGGCCTCCACGGTAAAGCCCTGGCCTGCTTTAGGAGTAGAATGTTTTTCTCTTGTGTAAAGGGAGGCGGAGGGAATATTGAAGACCAAAAGACCCCAAGGATTGATTTATTAAGCATGGGTGTATCCTGGGCCTTGGTCTTGAAGCTGCAGAAACAAGAGCGCTAACCAGTGCGCTCACTGCCCTAGACCTCCTGGACTGCACCACTAAGTGGCTCGCCCAGGCAGCAGCGGACCTCAGCACGCCACCAGCCAGCCCCGACTCTGCTGACTCCTCGGGTGTGGCCAGTCCTCCCGGTGAGGCAGCCAGCAGCCCTGAGCCCCTCAGCCCCTCCGTGGTGTTGTCACAAGGCTTCCTCAACCTCCTGCTGTGGGACCCCGAAAACGAAGAGTTCCCCGAGGTAGGAGTAGCAGGCATTGCCTTGCTTTGTTTCCAGAGTTTCCATTGGGGTCCCCCCTACCCCCCATCCTGACAGCCTGCTCTGCCCTGGTCCAGACCCTGGAGATGGACAGAACCCGGCTGGAGGAGCTGGAGGCCCAGCTGCAGCGGTTAACCATCCTGGCCTCAGTCCTGCTTGTGGCCAGCAGTTTCTCTGGCAGTGTTTTGTGTGGCTCACCTCAGTTTGTGGATAAAATAAAGCGTCTCACCAAGGCCCTGATGGAGAAATTCAATCCTGGGTAAGCTTCATTGGTTTTTTTTTTTTTTTTTAAGAGCAGAGGGTGCTATGTAATATTCAGGACTTAAGCAGGGAATGAATTAACGCTTACTGTCCACCACAAGCCACAGAAAGGCCCTCTGGAACCATCAGGGAAGAATGTTGATTTTTTTTTTCTTCCCCATAAGTGATCTTGAAGCTTGTGACAGAAGGAGCAGTATGGAGCAGTTAGCTGCAAATGCGTTGTCATCCAGTTGGGTGGGTGACAGCGGCTGGTGTTAACATGCATGTCTAGGAGCAGGTCGGTCAGCAGTGTTGACAAGACAGCTACAGATGCTGGGCATCACCAAAGGAAAAAGAGAAGGAGGAAAAGGAGGCAAGTTCAGGGCTGGGAGTGCAGCTCAGTGGTCTAGGCCCTGCCCAGCATGTATGAGGCCTTGGGCTCAGTCTCCAGCACTGCAAGACAAAGGAAACCCAGAAGGCCTGGTTTGTAATTGACAAGATAGGACAAATGATCATGGCAGGTATCCAGGAAGGGCTTTAAGATGTATATCTAAAAATAAAGTCTAAGGGAGGGGGATTCAGCAAGTGCCAGACCCTGGGTTTGGTCCTTAGCACCAAAAAACTAAAAGTAAATAAAATCTAGAGGACTAAACATTGCTGAGTGGATCCTGTGGTAGAGCTGTTAGGCTCTTTTCCAGGGTTAGTTCTGTAGTTCATCTTCTGAGATGCAGGACATGGCACCTTATGGAGCGCTTGGTATCCTGTGGGCAGTGTGAGATGCCACTCCGGTCCTGCTCCTGCAGGGTGAGGGCAAGGTAGCTGGTGCCCCTCAAGGGATCTAACGTCAGGAGTGGAGCTTCCCGAGTTCCTGTGCCTCTCCCTGGCCCACCGTCTGTGCATCACCTTACTCTTGTTCCTGGTCTAGGCCTGAGAACGCTCTGCAGACCCTGAGTGAACAGGTATCTCAGGAAATCCATCAAAGCCTCAGAAACATGGGCCTCACTGCTCTGAGTAGTGAAAACACGGCATCCCTGATAGAACAGCTCCAGAGCATTGCCAAGAAGGAGAACTGTGTCCGCAGTGTTGTCGGTGAGTGTGGCTGTGGTGGTGACAGTATTAGAGAAGGGAAGAGACCCCGGCCCCAGAAGTCAGGTGCAGAACCATTTCCCCGTAGAAGACAGATCAGTGGACGAGTCTCCGATCACTGTTGTGCTACATTGAAAATGTATCACTTACAGTTCGAGACAGATTGGTTCTAAGGAAGATCTGCAGGCAGGAGCTCGTGGCGTCTGGGTGTAAAAGACTGTCCATCTGACGCAGTTTAGTCACTCTGGCATGCTGGTCACTCTCTGACTTCAGCCCAAGACAATCTGCCCCCACGTGCACACCCACCACCCCTGAGAAGATAGGTCCTGCAGTGTGCAGCTGCCCGTCCCCGTGCTGGAGTGGAGGATGGGAAGTTGGCCAGGCTGCTCCTAGCCACAGTCATTGGAGCAGTCAGCAGAGGTCTTCCTGTTGTGTCATATGTATACTCTTGAGATCTGACAGCTACTTAAATAATGCTGCGTACTTGTGCTGAGAACTTACCCACTAGACATTTTTGGTTTTGGGGGACAAGGTCTCACCATGTAGTTCAGGCTGGTCTTGAACTCACAGAGATCCTCTTGCCTCTGTGCTGGATTACAGGTGTGCACCACCATACTTGCTGTTTTTGTTTTTGTAATCTTTGCTTTGTCCTTGAGAGCTAGTAGCAGCTCCCTCCCCAGACATGACACATTTGCGTATCTGCAGGTGGGTGGGCAGGTTGGCGAATGTCTCAGTTAACTTAGAAGACAAGTGAGTAGAGAGGAGCGGGACCAGTGCTCCTTCGTGAAATCTGTGCCCTTTCCCTTCTCATTGTCTTCTTTTGCTTGCAGATCAGCGGATGCGTTTGTTCCTCAAATCCTGTTTGCTTCTCGGCGTACAGCGCGCCCTGTTAGACCTTCCTGGAGGCCTCACCTTCATTGAGCCAGAGCTGGCAGAACTGGGCCAGAATTTCATCAGCCTAACACATCACAATCAGCAGGTGTTTGGCCCCTACTACACTGAGATCCTCAAAACCCTCATCCCCGAAGACCAGGCACTGAAAACAAAAGAGGAGGCTCTCTGATAGCACCTGCTGGGAGCCCTGGCACCTTGGACCCAGGAGTAGGACCCAGCGTCCTGGGGTAACATCACCAAGGACCAGCAGAGCAGCGAACCTTATCCACCCCACAGCCAGTAGGCACAGCTGGCCCCAGCCCACACTAATAAACCCCTGAACTGCCAGGAAACCACTCTCCTGCGCTGCAGAGCCAAGCAGCCAAACACCCAGGGCTAACATGAATCTAAGAGTAAAAGCGTCCCTGAGAACTCTGGGATTTATCCAAAATGTGAGTACAAGTGTTTCCTCCAGTTTGTTCCAGAAGGACACGTTTTAAGAGTTTGGATCTTGGCTGATGCAGCAGTGTACCCTCTTCCGCCACGTGTTCAGAAGCAGTGTGCAGACTGCTAGATGAAGGTGGGCGCTGGTCGCAGCAGGCATCCCAGGCAGCTTCGTGGGCCGTGCTGTCTGCCTCTTGTGTGTGTGCGTGTCTGTCTGTGTCTGTGTCACTCAGAGCTCAGCCTTGGCCCCTGAGGCAAGGCACGGACTAAGCTCAGGTCCTCCCTTCTTGCTCTCCCGCCCGTGAGTCTCCTTTCCTCCTCACCAAGCTTTCTGAGGTGGAACAGCCACATCCTCCTCTCCGTTTGCAGTTCTGCTGTGGTTGTCGCCTCTCCTTGCTGGGTTTTGTTGAGTAAGACGTACTCTAGAAGTCAACGCTGGCACGCCAGCTCGTGTACTGCGGCGGGAAAAGGAAAGGGAACACACGTGGTCTTGTGCAGCAGTGGCCACGGGAACGGGGATCCACGTACACGCATTCCCACCACCGAGGGGCTGAGTGGGACATTTAATTTAGGTACCGCCACAACGGGGAGCCTGGGTCCTTCCGGGTGGCCGGGTTTTCTCCAAGGCGGTAGCCTGCTTAGAGGGTGACAGGGATGGGTCAGCAGTGTGGCTGGAAAAGCTTGGGTGTGCGGCATTCAGAGTTGGCCTCTAGATGGGGAAGCCCATGAAAAGTGATGTGTTTAATAGATGGGGAGACATGGCTCGTGGAGTCCGACTTGTCACTATGAATTTGAATTTGTTTTTAGTCACATTTTGGAGGGCTGGGGGTTTAGCTCAGTGGCATAAGTGCCTGCTTGGCAAACCTGAGGTTGTGAGTTCAATCTCCAGTACCAAGAAAAAGAAAAAATTTCTCCTTAAAGGGCTGGGGATTTAGCTCAGTGGCCTAAGCGGCTGCCTGGCAAACACAAGATTGTGAGTTTGATCCCCAGTCCCATAAAAAAAAAAAAAAAAAAAAAAACAAAACACATTTTGGAAGCCTCTTGGTCATGGGTACTGGGGTCCCACATGGATTCCTAGGTTCTTGTGTGTGGTGAATAGAGACTTCGATGCAGCATGAGACAGCAAGGAAATAGCAGCAAAGTGTAGTCAGGTGCCAGCCCACCTGGAGGGCTCAGCTCGTGCCAGCAGAAAGAAAGGGGTGAGCACTGAGCGTGGGCTGAGGGATTTAAGATGGTGCGCTGGGTCTGGGGCAGCTCACTGGGGCTTCCAGAGCACGGCTGACGGTGCGATTGACAGGGTGTGGCACTACCAGCTGCGTCTGCCGTGCGTGTGCTTTACCGTAATGCTCTGTCGTGATCAGAAGCGTGAGATGCAGTCTGTCTGCAGGAACCTTCAGTGAACTCCAAGGGAAGACCAATGGTTACTGCAGGTCATGTCCGGCCTGCGTTTGTCCTGGTTTGTAATTTTGGAATTTTCTAGGGCAGACTGGGGAGGGGTGTCTTTGCTTTCTTATCTCTGCCTCTGAATAGTGAGCCTGAGGGCAAAGGTCAAGGAGTTGGCCCGTGGTGTTGCCCAGGTTCAGATGATGGAGAAGAGTTGGTCCATCAGCCCCTGAAAGTCTTTAAGGGATGTTGAGGAGGGAATGTCTTGTCTTCTGTATCTGCTGCTTGATGAATGGAACGGTGGTCCCACCCGTGCAGAGACTGTGGCACCCTTGCCTGCTTGAGCCATTCTCCTCCTCCCAGGGTTCCAAATGAGCTCCAGATATGAAGGTGGCTTTTGTCCTTGGCTTGCATCTCAACTGTAGTTTAGCAGCTACTGAATGAGAGAAAAAGATTTGACTAAGAGATCAAGTATGCACAGTGGCCGAGGGGACTGGAGGATACTGGCCGTGAGGGGCCGTGTCCCTCTCTAGGGCCAGATAAGCAAGGATGCATATTCCTGTCCAGTTTGGAGGACGCAAGTGGGGGTCAGTGCCGCACAAGGGGAAAAGTGCCTGAGCCTCAAGACTGTTTTCAGCTTGGGGAGCTGATTGTTTTCATTTCCCCGGGTGACGTCTCCGCCAGGTGCAGTCAGCGGCTGAACGGGCCCGTGAGTGTCTGGAGCAGCTCTGGTGGTTGTGTTTTCTCCCTGTGTAAAACTTCTTCTGGTATCCACTAATACTTATTCTGTTGTGTTCATAACTAGACACCAGCAGTCCCTGGTGATGGACCGTCTTCCCAAGAGAACACAGGAACCCAGTTGGAGGTCTCCCTTGGCAATGTCCTGACCCTGCTTCCTAACTCTTGTGTCCAGAGACACACAAGTTCTGTGAAAACTGCACCAGGTTTTTAAAAGATGTGGTTGCTGGCATGGTCCAATGAAGGCTTTATCTTTAGGATTTGTTTGCAAATGGAGTCCTATAAATGTCCCCAAATCTTGACTTGGGCCCTGGTCTTAAGTCTTCTTTATACAAAGGGATGCCTGGAACTTAAGTAGCATGCACATGGACTTGAGGTGCCAAGTGGGTGGTTTTGTGCAAGAAACCTGACTGAGATTACTCCGGCAGCCCTCCCTGGTCCTTTCCTCTGATCATTTCGAGGTTACCCTGGTCATTTCATTGACCTGGAAACCATACGGGCTGTCTAAGGATAGTCCTTGAAAGTGATGGCCCCTGGATGTTTGGGGTGGAAGGCTGTCTTTCCAGCAGCCCAGAGTCGAGCTGGGATGGGCACAGCGGTATACCAGCTGGAAGACGTGGAAAGACACAGTGAATGGTCCTGGGCTAGGTTGGAGTTAGCAGAGGTGACTCAGATGGGTTGGACCTAGGAGAAGGGGGTTCAATGTGTAAACAGTCACTGTGCATTGTCTTCCCCAGAGGCAATCCTTGAGCCACCAGAGAGGATCCCAAGAAAAGTGGGAACAAACCAGGAGAGGTCATTTTGTGACTTAGGGTGAGGATCTCAGAGAGAGTCCTGGCAAGCAGGAGAGTCACAGTAGGAAATGCAAAGAAGGGTCCTGTTGCCGGGTGGGGCTGATCTTACTTTACGTAGAGGGAGCAGAAGAGGGCGCTTCGCTGACTCGCCAGTTGTTTTCCAAAAAGGCATGTGAGGCTGTCCTCTGGTTCACAGGTGGGCACGGTTGGTTGTCTCGCATTTTCTGGTGCTGTAGGCTGCTTGGTTTTCTCCTGGAGAGGTAAACTGGCCAGTGCTGGGAGCTCAGGTCCATAGGAATGGAAAAGGAGGTGCCCTGGGATCTGTGCAGAGAGGGTACAGGTGCGCCGCTAGGGGTGAGCAGGTGATCCAGGGATCTTGAACTAGGCAGTGTCCTCAGGATGCTTGACCACCGGTGTGCTGCATGGGGACTGGCATGGTACAGCCACCTGTAGCCAGAAATTCTAGAGTGGACCTTAGCCCAGCCTGGCCTCTATTTGAAAGGGAGTACTCCTCCTGTGAGTACAGATGAAGGGCTTAGAGCTGAACCCCAGCTGGCCATGACAGCCCACCCTGGGCTGCCATCATCCCACGCTTGCGGATTAATCCTGGCAGAGAAGTCTGGGTCTGTGGAGCCAGGCTGAACAGGCCCCTAGCAGTTAGGTCGCAGGTTGCCGTGAGTTTGAATGACAGAATGGCCCTGAGCGGGGAGAGTAGATGCTGTCTCTTTCAGTTACTAGTCTGAGGCACTCAGGGTATTATACATGGGCAGCTTGGAAAAGGAGTCCTCCCACAGGTAGTTCACAGTGGGGAGAAGAAACCAGACTGGTGAAGTCCGTAAAGCCCACAACCGCTGAGGAAGAGGGTGATCATTTACCCTGGTGAGGTGAACGTTGATTCCCCAGTAGCTAAAGGAATGCGGCTTGCTTTCTTACAACACCCAGGTTCCCCAAGGCTCCTGCACTGTGGTGGAAATGTCCTTGTGTGGGGGCTGGACGGGCCACCTTGGGCCCACCATTCACTCTGTGGGCACTCTCCCTTGGCCACCATGGTGGTGGATGCCCTCCCCTTCTGGGAATGGGCACAGTCTCCCCTCTAGTGCCTGTGTCCAGTTGGCGTCAGCAAGGATGCAGGGGCTCTTGAGGGCATCTTTGCCCAGTGCCCTGGTTGCTTGCAACTGAAGCGCCCAGACCTGCCTCCGTCACCTGGATCAGCCGGGATTCTTGTGGTGTCGCGGGCTGCAGTAAGCATTACTCATTGGGGCCAGCATGGCTTCAGCCTGCCTGGTCTCCTTATTGGACTCCCACTTTTTCTCTAGTACTTTAAATACTATTTATATTTAGTTTTTATAACTGCAATTAAACTATTTAATATAAGGAACTATATGTTTTCTCTCCTGTGGTCTGTGATAGTTCAAATCTTAAAATTATTTGTATTTTGGTTTTCGTTTTGTTTTGTTTTGTGAGATAGGCTCGCACTATGTAGCCCAGCCTGACCTGGAACTCAGTGCCCCTCCTGCAATAGCCTCCAGGCAGAACAAAATTAATAAGAAAACAATGAGAGAATATACGGCGCCGTGGGCAACGAAAGACGTAACTGTGTTTGGATCAGCTCTCAATATTTATTGTGTACAGTGAAGCTGGATCTGACAAGATCCGCCACCCTCAAGTTTCTTCCTCTTCTGCCCGTTGGGGGCAGAAACACACACTTACATAGGATCTGAGTAACCAATCAATATGAAGCAGAAGTCGCATGCTGATAGGCCACAGTCACCGGTAGCTAGGTAGACACTCATTTTGGCAGGGTTGTTTGCGCGGCAACAGGGACCCGGAAGCAGGAAACGGGCGCCATCTTAGGGGAGCGGCTCGAGCAACCCCCAACATCTCCCCCTTTTTCATTTAAATTTGATACACAAATCACATGGGTCTTTTCCCCTCCGCCCGTATACTGTGGCCAGTGCCAAAAGAAAAGGGGAAGGCCCAAGACAGGCTGGGACAAGAGAGAGTGCAGAGGTCTATACCCCGCTGTGCACCATCTCATTCTATGCATATCTTTGCGCTAAGACCATGCTTGAGATGGGGTGCTCATTTTTCG